TGAGACCTCTTCGGAGTGCTCGAAATTGTTTTTCTTGGCGCCGGCAGGATTCATTTGGTTCACATAGCCCCATGAACAGCCTCCGGTGCAAGGCACGGAGCCGCGCAGATAGACAGCCCCCCCCTGACCGCCAGGCTCTCCGGCCCCAAACTTGATCAAGTCACGAATGCCGATAGCACAGGCTCGCGCCTGGCATTGGGGGACATGCCAATGAGCCCGAGCGCACGATGCCACACGCGCGTGCTATCAAAGGCTTTCGTGAGGATGCCTGCTGCTTGGAGCTTAGTGTCAACATTGATAATATCAAACTGGCGATTGGTGAACTGCTCCTGAAGCCAGCGGAAGCTAATTCTCTGAGTGCGGTCGGTGTGCAGCAACTTCTGAGATTGCCCTGCTTAAGGACAGTGATCGTGGCCTGATTGTCCTCCGTAAGCTGAACTTTCCATTGTTTGCCTAAATGCATGAGCAAAGCGTTTATGTCGGCGACAGACCTGCCCGAATCAACATTGCTGTACCTGGTTTCATTCAGCTCCGGATCGATCCGTGCGACAATGCCATCAGGCATAGCAAGAGAAGCTTTGCTGGCTTTGCTTGCATACGAAAGGGCGTCTTTACCGAACATGCCGCTTGGTTAGCCGCGATCACCTCAGCTTCCGCTGTCAAGGGCAGCCTGGGCCTGTGGTGTCTTTGCAACTTCCGCTTTCGGGACAAGCCTAGTAATAACTGCAGCGAACAACACCAAAGCAACATCAAATTAAGTTTTCTTGACACGCTGCTTAATCATCTTTCGCAACGGCGGGCGACGCTCCTCCTTTGCGGCCTTGTCACGCTCGGGAAGAACGGGCGCAGCTGGCGCCGGCCTGATCTTGGGCATCACCCGCAAACCATTGCTGGTACAGCTGACTTCTTGCGCTTGAACCCAGCTAAGGAACCATGGCGAACCATGTCCATTCAATTGTGGCGGTATGTTGGTTGCAGTTGCGTGGTGCTGGATCGCAAACGGCCACATGGCCTGATTGGACAAGATTGGCACGGGCACCTTCGAGCAAGTGTCTCATCTCCCTTTCGGCAAACGACTTGGAAGAATCCACATACTCAACGGATGTCTGACGGCGGTAGCCCAACTGCTCAATTGCGGCTTTCAATTCACGGGAATGGTCTGTGTAGACCACTTCAACCTCATCCTTTCCTGATATGCAATGCTAAACTCCCGCGACGGATTGCTCCGTGCTCCTGCTGATCACGTAGCGGAATTGCGTATGTACATCCTTGATGGCAAGCGCACTCCACTCCCCCCTGATGCCAGGCTCTATATGCTAGATTTCATCAGGATGACATAATTGGCGACAATGTGATCACCGAAGCCTGCTTCCAGCCTACCCTGACCAGCTTTTGATTTGGCATATGGGGCAATCATTTTTGCATGCGGGCATGTCCGGCAAAAGGGATTCTTGGGATAGTGTGCAAACAAATGCTGCGTGGTGCGAGCCTCAGCGATGAGGTCGTGTTCCTTGCGAAAACGCACATGCTGCTCAATCTCGTTGTCAGGGTTGTCTCCCTCATTGACTCCCTTATATTGTTGCGCCATCTGGACGGACCAGAATCCCAGTGGAAGGAGTATCCTTGATCCAAACACTTCACTCCTAGTGACAGCACCGCGGCAGAACCTTCAAGAATGACGTGTTCACTCAGAATCTCCGATGCCCAGGTCGGGCCGGTAGCGGTCATGACACCGATTGCTTGCGATGCTTTCCTTCGATTCTACCTTGGAAACATTGTTCAGGGCCTTCTTACTAATAAGGTCCTGCTCACTGCCGGAAGCGATAAGCCCTGAGGTGCGGTCGCTGCTTTTGGCACTGCAGCGTCCTTGCGGATGGCGTCGGTGGACATGGCAATTCCCAAACATTCGTCGCACGAAAGGTTCGAGATGGAATCGAATTCCGCATCGCACATGAAACCGCACTTCGGCTCGGCACCTTCGATCACGGCATGCAATTGCAAAAGTGCTTTGCGTGCTGCCTTATTGGTCCCTTTGGGGGCATAGGGCAATCCTTCGCATTGGGGTGCATCATGCCATATTCTCGGTCCTCATATTCTAGCTTAAGACTGTCACCTTCGGCGGGGATCTCATGCACGCGTGCTTCGTTCTGGAAAGACACACCAACCGGGCTGATCGGCTTTGCGAACACGCACACCGCTGCAGCATTAGCCTTTGGCTTAGGCTTTGGGGAACTCGCACGCTTCTTGGTTGAATTGGTCTTGCTGGATGCCGCTGCAGCGGAATTTCCGCTACAGGAGGCATGGCTAAACTTGCACCTGTCGCCACGTGTGCGCTTACCTTCCTGAAAGAAAGAGCATGGAACCTTCGACTTGTCACTCTTGTTCCCCTGGGGAGTTGCCGCCCTTGCGTTGTTGCGCACTGCTGGCGAGCGGCCTCGCTGCTCCTTGTGGTCTGCGTAAGGGGCAGTTAGCTGGCGCACGAGCCCTTCTGACAATCGAAGCAGTATTTCTTTTCGCTACCCTTGAGCTTCGACGGGCTCCTCTTCTTCTTCTTCTCATCTTTCTTCTCAGGACCAGCTTCGCCTGCCTTTGGGGTTGGCTTGTTGCGATTGACCTTTGACACTCTCTCACAGTTTCCCGCAAAAGATCACGCTCAATACGATCCCTCACGCTTCGCATAAGAAACTCATAGCTCTTATTGGGGTCCTCGTCTGTACTGCGGTCGTATCGATTTCATAGCGAGGTGGCAAGTCCGTACCGGAGAATGTCCTTCAACACTTTCTCCTCAGGCGGCTTCTTCATACCTGCAATCACAGCTCACAAAGCGCCTTCACCGTGGCGACACACGCAACAAGTGTTCCAAGGAGTACAGGTTGCCAGCTTCTTCACTAGTCTTGAAGTATTGATCAAGCATGAACAACACTTCTTTAACCTCCCCTTTCGCAGTGAGGATTCTGCGCTAGATCACCCTTTGCCGAGGGCGTGAGCGCTGCGAGAATCTCCTAGCTCTTCCAACAGCTTCTTCTATCCTCACGGTCAGACCAAACCTCCACTATGCATGGCCAAGCCTCATCTGGCCTCTCGAACGGAGGTTTTCCATTGCGGTAGGTCTCAGGACTGGGCATCTCCTTGAACCGTAACGTCTCTCTCCAGTGCCGCCTCTTGCATTTTCCCAAGGACCGATGTCGTCAGGCACGTTGGTGGCGGCGGAAACCCGCCCAATGATCCTCCTCCAGGAGACGGTGGTGATGAAGACGACGAGGGTGGTGCCAATCTGAATCTGGGTCAAGAGGCTTATGAAGTGCTTACATCGAGGGGCGCAACGACGACGACAAGCCGAAGTTCGAAGCGCTGGTTTCTCACTACCGCTGGCGGTAGCTTCCGCAGGTCCCTGCAGACCGCGTGCTCTGTCTTGGAGCGCTGTGCAGGAGGCATTGCTAGGACTGTACCTGCTATACCAGTCATTTGTGACCAGCGACTTGAGCTTTTCTCAAATTGGAGCGGACTCGTCAATGCCTCAAGGTGGGACCGTTGAGACCGGGCAGATTTCATGTCTCGGTCATCAACCCCTTGCCCTGGGCTTTGATTTCTCCTCGCGGGATTGAAGCTCTTCGAGCTCCTCTTGCAGGATTTGGTTCTGGGCTGCATCATGTTGACCTTTCTTGCATGTGCAGCATAAACCTGTGCAACATCGTCCGCATGCTTGCCGGCCTGCTCCTTTAGGAGGCGTTGGGCTTCGGCGAGATTGCACTCTGGAACTCACCACATGCGATCCAGCTCCGCATTGTAGGGCTTGAGCCCTTTCCTCACAAACGCGGCTGATTCTAGCTTCAGCTGACATGACTTCGGCGTGCAACTCGGCATTCACCTGAGCTTCGTATTCGCAGATGCCATGCGGTTGGGCTTGCGCGCACTCAGCGTCGCGCGCAGCTGTACAGAGTTCCTCGCGGTTCTCTGCTTGCAGATGCAGCGCCTCGGCTTCACTCCTGATGGCTGCATCATTGCCAAACGCAAGAATGGCTGTATTATTGTTCTGCACGTTTATGATTCGCGCACCGCTGCCGGTTGCGTTGTCGGAGCTATTTCCGACACCGTCAACATGCATGCTAACTCCATCCAGCGGATACATCGCCATAGCTGAAATGCTAGGAGCCTACGGCTGATAACCTATAGATTCAAGGGGGTTTGGGGCACGTTAAACCAAAGTTAACCGTCCAAGTACGCGACTCAGCTAGTGAGACCTTTTGAGCCGCCATACTGTCGATGCGAATGATGCAAACGTGGAGTATGCCCAATGGAATTCTTCATTTGTTAGACACCAATTTGCAAAGGGCCCCTTCTCGAGGTGAATGTAAGTCTTGTTGACACAAAAGCCAATCAAACAGAACCCTGTCTTGTTCTTTCTACCCATTCCTCTCCTCCCCGCCTCCCAAGCTCGCAACATCTCGCAACTCTCTTTGAGCGTGAAGCAATGGAGAGCAAGATTCACCTTAAATGGCCTGCTCATGGCAGGGTTCCTGACATTCCCTCTGAACATTCAAGGGTTCTTGCATGCAAATTAACTACTTCTGATCGGGAGCCAATCTCTAGAGGCTCTCGGTACGAGCAGAACCAGCTGCAGGCAGGTTGCGTTGAGCAAACTGGTGGCAGCTGAATCGGTTGCCAGTTTGTCAAGTTTCCAGTCTGGTTTAGAATGGAAACCACAACTTCAAGCACAGAAATCTGATGAGGGGCTGGTGAACATGAGCACCGGTGAATTGGCTGCAAAGCACTTTAGGCTAAGTCGCCACTCTGCCTGCGAAGAGGAACGCAAGACATGGACAAGCGTCCACTACGGCTGCCATAGCCCAATCACAACATTAGCGTGAGCCGCAGTGTGCTTCCCATCCTTGTAAGACAGCTAGAACGGATGTTGTGCATTTGTACTTTTACATGCCAATCAGGGGCATCAGGTTTTTCCCAAACAGAGAAGTTACATTCACAGGCAAACCAAGTTAAACGCAACGGACTCAGTCACGGGTTGATTTGACCATGGCTCACTCTCACAGTCAAAGCTCACGGAGAATCCGGATCAGGTGGAACCTGGCGTCCACAAGAGTGCAGGCTTAGCTGGTTGGCTGCCTGCTCATCCAAAGGTCCCTCCCTGGTGTAGAGTATCCCTGATGAGACTGATTGATCAAGACTCCTCCCCACGTGGAGTATTTCCAGCGGATGACTGGTCTGAGCTTGAACGCGGACACGCTTTGTGAGTTCAATGATTGAGCAACTTGTGCAGCTGCTCTGAAGCCTAAAATGCTACTCGTAGCAAATGCAACGAGGCGGCCGGCGAGGCGTTGCTCAGACTGAATTTTGTTGAACAGCTGAAAGCCTTGGGCGGGTGTTCATCAAGACCTGAGAATTTCAGCACGAAAAGCGTGCAGTCTTTGACATGTGTCTTTCTGGCCAAGCTCATGCCTGCTTCTCCAGAGGTTCCAGCAGGAAAACAACACCACACCGCAATTCCATAACCCCAACGAGCGATATTGATTACGTGAGCAGGCTGATATGCGAGAGGATTTAAGGGGTAGTAAGTCCTTGTTGCGTGATGCAAGACCTTTACGAAGTGTACTGCATTCATCTAGTGCTGACCATGAATCATCAACTGGTTGAAACACATGAAGAACAGCGATGGACAACTCGTTTTCCATAGGACTTGCATCCCCTGTATCATGTGTATTGGACATGGCCATTGTTGGTCGTGACAGGGCCTTGTTGTCAAACAAAGGATTGCACACTTTCCTCTTCTCTGCATGACAGGTTTAATGCATGTTTTCCAACCTCTGAAAGCATCTCAATCTCAAATCCGTGCTCTTTTCAACACTGCGGCCTTGAGCACTTTGCCCCCATCTGCCCCCCCCCCCGCCCTCACCCCCACGTCTAATCGAGTAACAGATCGCAAATGCGCCTCCGTGCCAGCGGAGAGGTGCCTCTGCAGCACCGGGGGCGCGCGCTGCGGCGTCTCCTCCAAGCATCGAATGGCTCGAAAGGCTTCAGCATGAAGACTTCAGCATCAATCAATGCCTCACCCTTGCCTTCTTTGACGTAGTAACCAATCCAACGACCACCTGGAAGCTGGCAGAAAAAGCCTTGCCAGTGAGGGGACCTTTGTCCCCCTTGTCCTTATGAGCAACTACTGCCTGACCCTTCTCAAACTCTTTGATACCATGCACAGCCAATGCAGCATGTGCTACAGTACCCTCCATTTCAAGAGTGCGACTTTGCACCTCAAGCAAGTGCTTTGCAGGCCAAGGTTGTGAATAGCTTCGTGTATGCTTATTGCTCAGACGCAGGTGCGGCCCCTTGATTGGAGACTTCTGATCATCCACTGAAAACGGGCTGTGCTCAGTGGAAGCTTCTAGACTCTGAGATCCAAAAAGGCACTCTCCCCGGCACAATACAAAAGCAGGCATGTCAGTTTGAAGAACTGATGACATCGACGAGAAGAATCGGTGTCTCCAGTTCCAGCTCTATGTTGACGTTCAAGCTTCTGTATAATGAAATTGGTGGAGCTCCTAACGAGCTCCTAAGCTCCTGACGCGACCCGAATACGGGAATCCTCATTATGTAGGGCAACATGATCATGGCCGGGCCGTAAACTCCTTTCTATAATGCACTCACACAACACAAGTGCAGCACGCCACCTGAACATTTGAGCCGATAGTCCCAACCCACTGAATCACTGCAAGGAATGCACAGGTGCTTGCGGCGATCATTTGCTGGCCTGAACGCTACGAAATGAACACTGCCATGGTTTGAGATTCCGGCCCTTTAGGTTGCCGGGAGTACCAAATACTCTCTGCTCTTCTGAATAAGGGTTGTCTCTATGCACAATGCGGGGCTGAAGGGGCATAGCCATAGCCACAAAAGAACCCTCGAAGCCAGAATCACCAGCCATTCGCAAACCCACGCCTCACTGGAGGCACGCACAAGTTGAAGGACCCGCACAGCTTGGCGCACCTTGCCTGGATGCAAACAAGGTAAAAACAAAAAGCCAACGCCCCAAAGTGGCCTCGCAAGAAAGTTAAAATCTAAAGAATCATACAGGCTGCTTTGAAAGGCCTTGTCAAATTCCCTTTCAAAATGACAGGCCATGGATAGATGTCGATGAATTTTGATAAGGTTGATGTTCCCTTCGCTGAACCGCCTTTCTTAGTTGCAAACTGTTCAATATATTGAATGCACAGTTCTGTTCTGAATCCTTGGGTTTAGCTTCCCAATCAACGGATGCATCGGTACATGCGTCCCATGATCGGTTGCAGCTCCCCTTTAAGTTGATCTTAGAGATTCTGAGAGCTTCTGCGGATAATGCATCATCACTCTCGCCGACTCTTGCTTTGAGGGCTCTATGTGTCAAGTGCGTCAAGCTAACCGCGACGATCCAAAGCCTGCGGTCTTCCACTTCGAGCCGACATCCATCAGGCTACGCTCCTGCAGGATGCGTCAAATAGATAGGGAGTTGTGTCTGTCTTGTCTGCAACAATTCAACAGTCATATTGCACATGCGCTGCGCAATGCTGCTTGCTCAGCTTGCTCACTCAACCTTGCGTCCCACACATCAAAACCATTGTTGGTCCGGCACTTCCACCGGTGAGGGCTTGGTGTGAAAAGGGACAACCGTTCAAATGTGTAAGAACTGCACATGTGATGCAACTTCCAGCTCTCTGCTGCCATACCGGAGGGCAGTGTCTGTCTAATCAGCCTGTACTTGCCCTGCAGTTCCTCACGTTCAACACTTGCTGTCTTTGCACCCTACTTTGGGAATTGTCCAGTTGCAAAACTACTTACCCTCCCAATCAATCCAACCATACTTGTCTGCACTGTTTGTACCTTGTTTCCATCCACCACCACCATAAGAGTTTCCATGCAACCATACTTATTTCCAATGTACCCATACTTGTTTGCAGTGTTTGTACCTTACAATTCTGAAGTACCACCTTACGTAGCCTTCTATTCTGAAGGTGGGTTGCATCCATGCTTGTTTGTATCCACCTGTTGCGATGCAACGGTTGGGTCCTTCATCGCCAGCCGCTTCCTCTCTTCACGCAGCGTCGCCGCTGCATCCCGCAAGGCCTGCACCGCCTCATCCACCTGAGCACGGACATCGGCACGCTGCACGAACAGGACTGTGCAAAAAGCACAGGGCCCTCCAACCGGCTGGCTTCCGGCGTCGTTAACAAAGACATGCTGTGATGCTGAGATACATTGGAGAAGGGCGAGGATCGGTACTTGCATCGGCTCACAAGACATTGATGGGGGCTCCTGATACGCTGGGCTTCCACAGGGTCGCCCGATACCAAGACACGGAGCGATTCGGAGGTCTGTACAACAAAGGCCAACTCAGAGAGAGCCCAGAGCCTGTGAAGCAGTCCGCATGGCTTTGAAGGATCAGTGTCAAATCAGGACCAAACACCCAACTAGGCAGAGGCATGGCTTAGCCAAAGCAAATGCTTACCAAGGGTGCCCTTGCTGTCCTGTCAACGCAAGCTAATCCGCATGTTTCCTGCATTTCACTTACCCAAAGGACCGAAAGGGTTAACTTTTTGGCCCCTTAAACATGGCCCAAGCTGGGCAAACCAAAAGGCCAAAAGGTCGCAACTGAGGTGTACTTTTGCTTCATCCTGACAAGCCGCAAAGTAGCTGCCTCCATTTCCCCCCCAATTCCCCGCCTCGGGCTGCAACTCTTCAGGCACCTTGGCTCGAAGCTTCTCGAGCTTCACAGCTCCGTCCTCCACTGCCTGAAACGTCGAGGGACTTGAGGGGGTGGGGGCATCGCTGGTATCAATGTGACTATGGTGAGAGATGCTTGGTCTGAATCCGCATGTAATTACTTCGCCCATGTCTTTCTGAATGCGACTCTTGGCCACTTCACGGCAGTCGTATGCCCCGTCGGCGTGCTTAGTCAAAACTCAGAACACCCCCCACCCTCTTTTGGGGTACGCTAAAAAGGCACCCTCTTGCCGCTTGCCACTACCAAGCGTGCAGTGGTATTCGGAAATTTCTCCGACACACCAAATATATATATATATATATCAATTGTTTGGCGAACCGTCGGCTACACCTGGAGCAGAATGCTCAGGGCCCTTGAGTTTTTGCTGGAGTTGGATGGCTTCAGTTTAGCTTGGAGGCGTGAGTGTATGGTGAATCACACAGGCATCATTGGTTGATACTTGATATACTCCATGATCATGAAATAACCCCCTTTTCGGACTGTGGCGCTTGTTGGCTACAACGTGCCGTTTCTTCTCCCAGGTACGACACAGTCCGGTTCCTGATTGATTGGAATTGACTTCTTTTGCGTCTGTCCCTTGGCTTCTACTCGTCTGACAAGGGCTCTGACAATGGCATGCCCAAAGCACGCGTTGAGGTGGGGTTGGCCATGTCAGTGCCGGGCCCCAAACAAACGGCCACATAATGCCAGGTTGCCTCAATTGCCAGACGTTTGCAGAAGTTCAGGGTAGCTGCTGCGTTTGTTTGGATGCGACCCCTGCAGTGCATCAACAGAGTACATGAGCACAGCACAAGCACCAACAACGGGCAGAAGGAATTGTAGAGCCGCACCATCCTGATGCTCAACTGCAAGGCCATATCTCCACACAAGTTAAATGGAACCGTTCACTTTGACAAAACTAGACAAAACATTGCCTGCAGTTAGAATGCATTCGCACAAAACTGTTTCTGTATGTGTGCACTACAGCCAATGTGGGAGTATTGTGCACTGCTTGCCCCCCCAAACGTATCCCCCCGCAGCAGCCACCTTCCCCGCCCCCAGCACATCCTTGCACGTCCACAACCTGTCGAACATGCACTTCAGTCATACCAACCTAAGACCAAGCACAAACTAATGCCGCACCATGCAAACACTAATCTAGTACCGAATCGGTACTGAGCTAAGCTTGGTTCGTTCAACCATCGCCAAAACCATGCTATACCATTACTAAGCCAGCCATTCCCCGCCACAACCAGGAGGGGGTGGCCACCTGAGTCATAATTAAAACCTGGTACAAAAATGATGAACCCAGAACCATGTAAGGAATTGAAAAGGCGGCCGCAACTATTTCCGGCTGGGACTGCCCCTTACTAACCTTCATCTACCTGGGTTTTGATTGTGACTCACCTGAACCTGAGCCTTGCCTATCCCGGCCGGTTCATATCATATTGGCTTCTCGTGCGCAAACTATGCCTGTTGAATGTCTGATGCGTATAGATACTTGCAAACAAATTCTAACCTGCACAGAGATGCCGCTGTTGCTGCTGCCAAGAGCAAGGCACAAGCGCCTTACTGGGCACCGGAAACTGCAAGTGCATAGCTAGCATGTGATGAATACCGACCTTTCTGCCGCACCACGAAAAAGCTTCCCGCCTCCCACCAAGTGTCTGCTCGCAAAGATCCTAGGCTTTGTGTCTATCGTTTCTCTGGTTTGTTCATGCTGCGAGCCCCGGGGCCTGGGGATCCGTGGTCTTCTCCTCCTTCTTCTCCTCCACTGCGAGCTGCTGCTTCACCAAGTCCGCATACTTCCCAGGCTTCCTCAGCAGCTCCGCATGGGTGCCCTGCTCGATGATCTTCCCCGCCTGCCAAAAAACATCTGGCCGCGTCTTCCGGCCGAAGCAACGCAAACACGGAAGGTTGAGGTGGTGGCCGGCCTTCTCAGGTTTTCCCGATATTCAGCTTCTTTCAGATGTCAAAGCACGAGCCTACCACCCTCCAACCGAACTTCCTCAGCTTGCGGGGACAAGGTGAAGGTCCAAAGGCAAGAGGCGCAGGGCCCTTCGCCGCCATGGGTCCAGACAGTGCATTCTGGGGAACCAGTGAGATACACTCGGGCAAGTCACTTGAGAGTTGTGCTCAAAGGTGGACTGCTCGCACAGAAAATCAAACTCCCCCCCTCCCAAGGAAAGAAACACCCACTGAAAACTGCAGCTGGACAACTCAGCAAGTTTGTCCCGGCACAGCTCCAAAAGCTCTGATAGAACCACGGTCCTTGTCCCCACGCAATGCGTCCAGGAAATGGGATGGCGGTCCAGGAACGTCCAGGCCCTGCCTCCATCACTATGATCAGGTCAGCGTTCACGATGGTGGAAAGACGGTGTGCAATGGCGATCACCGTCCTGCATTGCCATCTCGCACAGCTTGCAGCAACTGGGCGGGGGGGGGGGGGGGGTTGGCAATCTGGGAGCTGCAAAAAATCAGGACCCTTCTGCCTTGCAGGGTCTGGAAAATTAGAATGTGTTTGGCAACTCTAGAATTTTCATTTCTGTGGACCCCTCCAGTGCGACCAATGGTGTCATATACTTATCCAATGCCACATTGTGTCGCACAAACAGCATGGCAAAAGGAGGACAGTCCCCCTTCACGAAACCCATGTTGCAACATGGGTCCAAATCATCGGTACAAGGGTCACTCAATCATTCGGAACTTTGTTCCTGCAATGAGATCACGACACGCGTTGCTCATGGTAAGTTCCAGAGGAAGGCCACCAAATGTAGTTGAACATCCCATGGCATTCCGTTTGCTTTCGATTGGTCTGATGCACCATACAAGCAGACCATCAAGTGGCAGCGGGCCCCAAAAGCCAACTGGTGGGAGCGAACTGCCCCGCTGACACCTGCAACTATGTCAACATGTATTCCTCCGCAAATGGGTGGTTGTGTGGTTGCATGCGAGTTTTCTGATGCGTTTGACACAATCACAAGGTCAAACGCGACGCGTCCTGCCCTTCATGAGCTTGTCCAACGCTTTTTGCACCTGGCCATGGCTTGCTAGTCACCCGGGAATGGGTCAACATCAGAGAGCCACCTGTTGGCAGGTGTGCAGTTTGAACACTCACAAGGTATCAAAACACCACCAAAAACAAGCTCAAAGGCGAATTTGCGAACAGTTGCAGTGTATAGAGGGGCCGCCGAGTATTGTCAACACAGGCCACAGGCAGCGACAACAACTGGCCAATGTCCAAATCCTGTCGCTGAAAGCGCTCCAAGGATGACAACGCCAAGGCTTGGCATGAGTATCATACCGGCAATTGTCAAGCTTGGAACCAAGAAACTGGAGCGGCTGTGTGAGTGAGTGTGGTGTCGGGTCAGCTTCACCTGTACGAATGCAAATTGTTTGGATATGATTTTCAACATTCAAGAACCTTTAGGGCAAGCTGCGTTTCTCCATGCTCTTTCCATTCCACACGCCCATGGTCTGTCCCCCTGCGTAGGCCCACGTAACCAATAGCTTGGTTTGTGTGAAATGACCCTCTCTGTGCTTTCAACGTAGGCCATCCCCAAGACGACGTTGTCGCTTCAAAGTGGTTTTCTTTATCTTGCTGGTGCTCAGCAGGGAACGAGGATGACCCCTATAAAACATCCCTTGTGGTTTCTTTTCAGGGATCCTTGGGTTCATTCCCGCATTCCCTACCTATCGCACCAGCAAGTTCTCACAAACACCTGGGCCCTCCCGCGTCCGATTCCCCACCGATTCAAAGCGGAGGCCTTGCGCTCGGACACGGTGTCCAGGGCCGAGGTTGCCTCGTCCAAGAGAAGGATCTTAGGATTCCGCAGCAGGGCCCGCGCGATGGAGAGCCGCTGCTTTTGGCCTAAGCCAGATGGGTGTGTTTTTCTGAGACCCGGGCGGGGATGGTTGAAAGGACAAAACAAAGGAAACTCTGCTTATGTTAGACATACTACACAAATAAGCATGTTTGATCATGTTTGCGTGACGTTTCAGATTGACAATCTGGCTTGCGTCCTGTCATTTCTATACTTTGCTGCACACGGCAGCCAATGGGATGTACTAGAATGCATCCCAATCTACTAGTACCTTAGTTGGTCGGATTGTGGCCACCACAGATCTGGGTAATACAAATTAGTTCACACGCAACGAACAAGACATAGGGTTGCAAGCTCCTCTTGGAGGTCGCGGAGGTCGCGTCACAATCGCGATTGGATGCTGCAACCGCTCGTGGATGTGCGTGTCTCTGAAAGCGAATTCATCTTATGTTTTCGGCGCGACCATCTGACCTGCAGCCCACCTTCCCGCCCCGGCATCCAGATTCACAGCCCAGGATTTCCTAAATATCCTCCCTTTAAAGCCCCAAAGAGGACGTGGGAAGCCTGCAAAGAGCATCACCGAAACCTCCAGAGGTGGAACGTTCCCAGCCTCCGCTCAGCTCATTGGCCGGTGTGTCCACACCACTGGGCTTTTTCAGCACGTCATCGTAAAGATCCGCCTTAGGGAGCCAATGCGTCTAAACCCGTGTTTGGTTTGAGTGAATGTTTTAACATCCTCATGGTGTCCCCTTCCCTTTCCATCTTTCCCTCTAACCATCTAAACATGTCTTGGGACCTATAGCAACTTCTGCAAGGCGGTCTTGCCCCCCCACTCTGCCTCGCGCATCACACGCAGCACCTCCTCCTCACTAGCCTCCGGCAACCCGTAGCGGATGTTGTCGATGACCGAGCCCTTGAAGACGCACTGATCCTGAAGGCAGCTAGCCGGTGTGTGTGTGTGTGTTTGTTTAAACCAGCATGGCACCATGATGGAAGATACACCCAACACAAGGAATAGTGTATGGTGTAAAGGCCGCGGTCGCAGGTTCGGGCTTGGACGTCTCTTTGGAGAACGAAGAACATCATGCCCCTCTGAGGGGTGGACTGTCGCGAGGGGTGCTTTCCACATAAAGTGGCTTTGAATCAAACAGCCTCGTCATCAGTTCTTTCAACCTTCATTTCATCCGGCAGGTGCCAGGTGCCGTGCGGAATGAAACGAGGAGAATAGCTACGTTGCTCAGAGTTACGCAACATCTCATCAGGTACTGGCCAAACCGTGGCCTATTCTGCCAGCTAGAGACGATCGTCTGGCGTATGCAATCCACAGCCTGGAACCTTAACATGGCATCGGAAAACATCGACATATGGCCCCTGAAATATTCAGACAGCGATCCAAGCAGATTCCAAAATAGGGGGTGGGGGGGCATGGGGCGAAGGCTCTCAAGCGGACGTCAGCTTCCCGCCTGGGAGACCCAGGCCACAGCGCGGTACAGTGCCTGGGGGTTCCAACTGGCCAGGTCCTTTCCGTCGATGCAAATGGAACCCATCTGGGGGTCGTAGAAGCGCAGGAGGAGGTTGAAAAGGGTGGATTTGCCTAAGTCATCAATCCGCTTGCACACAAGCGTCTGCATTTGTTTTTAGCGTGCATGTGTATCGTATCACACACACACACTCGCACAAACATAGACAAGTTCATGTGAGGACATCGGAACATCCCTGCGCCCAAAGCGAAAGGCATGTACCTGTTAAGTCCACCTTGGGAGGCCGAGAGGCCAATATGTGCCGCAAATTTCGCTGACGCGCTGTGATTCATTCGCTCCAATACACTAGGACGGCAAATGCACATTTGGGAGTCACTGCGCTACAACCAGAAAGTCTGACACCGCAAGTCAAAGCCAAGTCACCATGGGCACACAATGGAACCATGCAAGCCTGCACTCCACTCGCGACATGTTGGCCAAATCTTGCACACAGCAGCATGCTTGGCAGCAAGCAGTCTGCAAAGTCTATACACTTGGTTGCTCAATGCATGTCCACTGAGAAGATCTTGCAAAGTCCTCAAACTAAGATGATGTTGCCTAATTGGAGCGGGGCAGCGAATGCAATCAACGGATACAAACGCCTTTCAGCTTCCCAGCCTGTGTCTGGTTTTATTTGATGATTGAGCTTGCCAAGTGATCACGCAACGTAATCGTGTATGTGTCAGCATGTTTTAGCAGACCACCGAAAAGCAGGCGAAGTGAATCGACTGTGAGTACAACCATATAAGATAATAGAAGAACGTATCTTATGCCTATGTACAATATACACTATATTGTGCATCATTTTTCATTGACCAACGTCTTTGCAATGCACCCGAAACAAACGTGAATACAAATAATGGCGCTCCCTGGCACTCGCCAGCCCCCACGTAGATAGCAAACTGTGGCGGAGTTTGCGCCAATAAACACGTATCCATGAACAGTTAAAAAGAAAGAAGAAACAACACCAACTTGTCTTCTTGCAAATAGAGCAACCAAACCTGGCGTGCAAACACACAGACTCCATGCTCAATTGGTGAGCGTCATGATGTCTCTCGTTTTGTTTGGCCTGGGTTTGGATTGATGTCGCTGAGTGTGCCAGCATCAAATCCACAACATACTCTGCCTGCCTGTGTCTAGCACATGCTTCTCGACCGAGGCACACATGGTGTGTAGATCTTGTATATTGTGTCTGGGCCCAGTCTTTTAGTCTTAGTCTACAGAAACTACTCACTCAGCCCTTGGCGAAGTGCTAAAACACAGAGAGTACTGGCCTCTGGTGTCTGAGTTTGGTTGCAGAGAGCCGCAAAATATACACCAAGTTTGCGGACCGGTGGTGCCCAGAACCTGCGTGCCACGAGTGGCCCGTGACAAAACCAGCCAGGTGCTGCTTCCGGAGTTTCCGCTCTTTCGAAAGCTAAGCCAACGGAAGGTGGGTGCGAAGTAAACATCAGACTGTCCGAGCTGCCACAGCCCGAAGGTCCAACTAGTCCCACCATGGAGCCCTGGTGAATGCGGAAGTTCAGATCCTTTAGCGCAGCTGCCTCCAGGTCATCTCCGTAGCTAAAGGAGGCACCTCATAGCAAACGTGTTGACTCCGGATCTGGCTTCAGCAGTCAGGAAGTACCACAACTCAATTGGCATCGAACCCTTGTGGGAACCACTGGGGCATGTCTGTGACCTGGTCCCCCCAAGCACTTCTGACTTGAGTGCCGGCGCCAGTGCCCAAGCATCAGCTAGAAACAACGTTGAGGCAATCATCGCTATCAACAATGCTCAAAATATGGCTGTGGATCAAACATAGGTACCCATTTTGGGAACCCTGGTAAATGGAACCAAAGACTAAAGCCAGCGGTCCCCTGGTGAGTTACTTTTGACCCATATATCGAAAAGTTCACAAATACATGATTGCAACCATTGCGAATGCCAAGGGAGCCTTTGGCCTCGATCTCCCCAATGACCTCCTCGGGTTTCGGATTGAACTTGGTGTCATCCTCAGGGCTGCACGGCAATTTTTCTCCCACAGGAGCAACACCTGCTTTGCTGAACCGAAGCACGTTGAAACAAGACCAGTTCTACCGCAATACTCTTTTGATTAGCTTCGTTGGTTGGGCGGATGAAGAAAACTATCCACAACCGCTCGCCTCAACATCCTTATGTTGGATTTTTCAGAAGGGACCTGAGCTCAAATCGATTCTGGTCGCTGCAAAGCAGGATGACTGCCAGGCCAGTGGTCGAAAGGCTCACGAACAGGGGACAATGCAAACGCGCTCCTCGAAGGGTATGTCCGGAGGCCTCTCCAGCGCTTCCAGCACGGCACAGGCGTCTTCCACAAAGGTCGACTTTCTCAACAGGTTCCGCCGCAACTGGTACAATGGCCTGGTGGCCTGAAAGCGCCGGGTGTGGCCAATTGCGCCCATGACATGTTACAACATCGGACAACTGACATGCTTGAACGACCGACAGTGAACTTTCAAACTGCTGTGGTTCCTAGGTGACAAGTGCGTCCCTAGTGCACCATCCCTTCCGCATCCAGCCACCCCCCCCCCCTTCCCATGGGCTGCAGGGCCTTGAATGCCTTCTGCACGGCGTCCTGCAGCCCCACGAGCCCCAAGCGGTCGAACGGCACACCGGGCTTTTGTTGATTTGCTCGGTGACATTTGGCCATGGGTCAAAATCCAAATCGTACCCCCAGTGAACATCCCAATCCCCACTAAAATAGACGATTAAAGTGGGTGGTGCACCTACCCCAAAATGGTACCATTGGTTTTGACCCACCGCCATTTCAAGTGACACACCACCTCGTCAACCTGCTTAATTGCCAACACTGTGAATCGCGCAATCACCCACGCATCCACCCAGCCACCCGCAGCAGTTCAGCAATCCACCAATCCGCCAACCAATAAACAGCCAACCAACCAACTAACCAACCAATCAACCAGCCAGCCAGCCAGCCAGCCAGCCAGCCAGCCAACCAGCTAACGAGCCAGCCAGCCAACCAAACAGCCAACTAACCAAACAACCAAACAACCAAACAACCAAACTTAAACAACCAAACAAACCAAGCAAGCAACCAACACCAACCAGCCAACCAACCAAGCCACGCATGCGTCTGTTTTTCTCTGAGCAAGCCAGAGTGGACAAGAAGCAGACATGCGGCTTTCCGATTGCTTGGTCCTTCACTTCATCGGCCCTGATGTACTTGATGTTCACCAAGATCCCGCCATACAAATACGCCACCTGACAGCCAATGTTCGGCCGCAACTAGCGCCACCTCGATCGCACTTGCACTATATTTGTTTGTTTCTGAAGGACTGCTGACTCGATGTCCGAAAGAGGAGGCGGAACAGGAACTTCGCCCGCACGGTTGATTCCGCAAACATGTCTGTCCAACCTCTTCGGTTTGAATGCAAGGGGTCGGGAGACCAGCCGGGCTGCTGGCTTGAACAAATGATGAACCACCTGAAACGAGAACCACTCTCAACTGTTCACATGACACCTTGAAAAATCAGAGGGTGCCCCAAAACGGCAACATTACGCCGTGTGTAAGACTGTTGTAAGCCAAAAAGACGAAGGTGACCACACCTTCTGGCTCCAACCTCTGCTTTGCCCACCTGAAAGGCAAACTCGGAAGTGAACCAGCTTCCAAAGTCGCTGATCTTCTCTACGAAGTCGCTGGCCCGAATTTTCCTGGGCTTGACCAAACACTGTTTGGTAGTAAGTGGGGACAGTACAGAACGATTTGAAACGTATTTGTTCAGTTCGTATCTGGGCGTGTCTCAAAATGGTCGACCCCTTGTTGGATGATTGTAAAGTGAAGCCTTGGGAAACAACCATTCCTGGGCTCCTCTTCGAACCTATCTCTTTCAAACGGCAAACAATCTGAGCAACTTACTTGGACGTAACACATCCCCCCAATTGCAACCAATTCAAGCCAGACCTGCCAAAAGCCAAAAACACAATGGGAACACCGGCCTCTCCGATTTCCCAAGTCTCAGCTCCTCGGACATGAACTTGGCGAAGGCCTTCTTCTCCTTGTCCTCCCGCGCGAAGGCGCGGACCACCCGGAAGTTCTGCAGCACCTCCAGGGCGTTCTCCTTGGCTTCGCTCCGCTGCTCCTCGTGGTCCTTCACCACCTCGCGAGGGAAAAAAGCCGCGCCGCGGGTGGGTCTGAAAAACATGGCCGGTTTCCCTGGCTGCAGCTCGCTTCAGGGCAAATTGCGGGGATTCTCGTCACTTTCAGCCCGCGTCAACAAGCAAATGCGAATCAGGAGTCCAAGGTGTCAGAGCTCCGGTTCTGGAGAGGAGAACATCTCCGGCTGGGCTTCTTTACTCTGAGAATCAACATGGCACCCAGAAGGATGTGCCTGTTTCAGAGGCATGTCCTTTGATAGGACCACCTTTCTGGGCTCCATGCTTTGCAAGGCACTAAGTCATGGAGTCACGGCGCGGATCTGTTTTTTGCCTAAAAAAGGTCCCAGGTCCCAGGTCCCCGACCTTCAGCAAGGTCTCCCAGATGCCCCGGCCGATGTTCTGAAAGGCGAACATGCCGATGCCAAATGCGCAAAGCCGAGGTTTCGAGAGCCACAGGAAGCCTCAAGCGATAGCCCAGGCCCGGCTTTCTATTCAGCCACTCCCCCCAGTTCCGGATATTCCAAAAGCAGCCCCTAGCTCCTACGACAAATAACTGCACCAGAAGGCTTGTGAATGAAGAACTGAAAGTCCATGTACATGCGGCCGCTTGATTGCCACATGCCTCTCCTGAAATCATGCCTCATCTTGCTTCACAAAAACAAGCATCCCTCCTTTTGGAGGGGTGGATGCATCATATCGGAACTCCCTTCTTGAGCGCGATACACGGCAATAAGATCGGCTCAGTACTGGCTCAGTGATTGTTCATACTAGTCAAAAGACTTTGCGAGGGCAGACACCATTGCTGGTCAGGCATAAGTCAAGCTGCTTGAATGATCCTGGGTCATATTGCCCAAATATAGTTTGCCTTCATGCTTCCTTATCGGTGTCACCACAGATGGGATGGCCTGCCAGCAGTATGTGGTACTGTGGGAGCATTTGCAAAACGTATAACCTGTAAAACACATCAGCCAAACACCCCTGCTTAGGATCAATTGGCCAAATCTCGTGAGCATACACCATTGCAGGTAAATTTCAGTAGTCGGCCATGGTAGGACATCACAGGCATTCCGTTGACTCTGCATTGTGTTGTCCACTGGTTGTTGATCAGTTGCCGCATATTACTGTGAATGGCGCATACACGCAAACACAAAGACACATCAAACAGTAACTCACAACCCTCCTCACCGCCCCTCCGTCTTTAGATGTGTTTCGACATGCCACAAAAGATGTTCAACAGCGGCAGCTCGGCTTAAGTCTTATCCTTATTTGGACTTCAAAGCCAATTGTTAAACTGCTGTTTCCACATTCTTAGTTTATGAATACTTTCAGCAATCCCTACTTCCACAATGTGGTGCCAATTCATTGTGCCTGTGGAGCCTTATTGGCCTCTCAGTTGCCCGTGTGCGCCCCATTCTGTCCAAGTTATTTCCCGAATAATAGACGAACAGTATTGCTGGTGGTGGTTCCAAAGCTTGATGTGCTTTGGGAGTTACTCTTAGTTTACTCTTATGTTCACTCTGTCATGTCTCTTGAAGCTCCAATCAAAAATGGCAACAGAGCTGACGTTGCCGAACAAGTCTTAGCTATCTGTTGTATTTGCAAAATATTGTTTCAGTACAATTATTATCCCTGCGATTGCTCCAGGCTGGCGTCTTTTCTACATCCGAGATTGTCTTGAAACAAGACCTGGACAAGATCAAACATGTGTATATATATATATATATTATATCCAACCCCCACCCCCATGGACCCTGTTTTTTGTGCCTTTTGGGGATGACAAATCTAGAACCTAGAGAGAGTAATCCTCGAACTGTCCAGTTTTGGGCAAATTAAAGCCTCATAATTTGGAGCCCGGACTCGTCTGAAATTTCCCAATATGATATCCTTTTCAACTAGGACTTTACTTAAAATAGATTTGGAGATTTGAATATAATTTAGAAAGGATACAGTGTTACAGGTTTATATGTTCAGTTAGAACTTAAATCAATGGTCCTTCCCGAATAGGAGTGACAAACACCACAATGGATATATAATTTCGGGCAAAACTCAACCAATCTTTAATAGATTTAAAATAGGAGTGTATTCCCTAATATGCTTTAAGTTTCAATTTTACTCTAAGGCGATTGTAATTCAATTGGCATTTGATAATAATGATTAAATAGACTTACTTCTCACATACAACTCATATGTATGGCTAAACATTTAAGGGACTTCTGCAAGGACATTGGATATAGGTTTTGTGTTGTTTGCATTATGGCCCTTTTGCAGCATAAGAAAGGTCCGAAATCAAACTTCTGAGGCGGTGTTCCAAAATGAAAACTTCAAGGGATTAGAGGTTCGAATTCTAAAACTATCTCGAAACAGAGATTCTACCTACTGTAAATCAGTTGTATTTAAAGTCTTGTTTGGACAGGAAATAATCACTCATTCTATCTCAAAAGGCGCAGGTCGTAGATGAGCGGATGTGGTCAGGTAGTTCAAGCAGGGGGGTGACGGTGTATGCACATACATTCATACATATATATATATAGATATATATATATATATATATCGCCAAAAGCGCTTGAAAGTGTGTCTAAGAACTGGAAAGTTGCTTCACTGGAACGCTAAGCACTTAACAATATGTTATCACTGGATTGAAGATTCAAGGTTGAAGATTACACGGAAAACTTTCCTGAAAGTCGTCAATCCTGGCCACACCCAAGCAACATTCAAGTTCTTCCAAACACTTGAACGTGCTTTACCACTGGATTGAAGATTCAAGGTTGGAGATTCCACAGAAAGCTTTCCTGGGAATCGTCAATCTTGACCAACTCCAAAAAACGTTCAAGTTGCTCTAAAACCTCGCAAGTTTTCATCACTGGATTGAAGATTCAACATGGTCATCTTTCAAAGAAGGCTTTTTCGATAATCTTGTCCTCGCACTTGAAATCCAGCCATTGCGGGAACTTGGAGGGTTGCAGATTAAATGCATGTGACTGCAGACAGGTGCGCATTCTTGGTTGCAGATTTATGTATTGGAAACCTGGAGTATGGGGACAACAGTTTTTGTCCAATGGGATTCAAGATTCAAGATTCCCAAAACAAGTTTGCTTACATGTATGTATATAACATATATATATATATATGTATATACATATGCCCCCCCCCCCCCCAATTTTGCCACAGAATCAACACGGCGAAACAGGCATAACACAGTGGAGAAGCACAGCTCACTCTCACAAAACCAGGGTCCATGGGGGGGGGAGGGTAACATATTATATATATATATATATGTATTATGTATATATGCACATGAATCATATTCAGCCGTACTGTGGAATTCTCTGTTGCAATATATGTTGGGCTGTAACTGCAGAGCATGGACTCTGAAAACCCGGCCTCTTGGATTGGACAATGTGTTTTCCTGGGATTCTCCATAGGTACCTGCCGCCTCGCTCAAAAACAACTCCAGCATTATGAATGCACAAACAAGGACATGCCGTTGCACACTTTTAGGACACAACCCTTTGCGCCCCCATTCGCGTCCCTGCTTGTTCATTGATTCTGACGGCTTGATGACGTTGGTCTAGTTTCTCGGTCAGGGTGCCCATGTCATGCGGTCACTCTTGAACACGTCCTAGTCATCGGCCCATGGAGTATTGCAGATACATGTACCATGAAATACCATGAAGCAGGTTTGTCATTTATGTCTTGAACATGTGTAAGTTCCCAGTCGTAGTCTGCGACCCAATATCTTTGGCGTCCATCATGCTGCTTGAGAGTGGGCTTGAAACAAGTCTTGGAAGCTTGATGATGCTTCCCTGAAATCCGACTCGTAAGCATCGGTGGCAAACAGTGCGTTGACTCCACACATTCTCCACCTGCGCTTTCTTTCTAGTATCTTCGGTGTTTGCAGAAATCTTCCTTGCTCGCTGATTTGCAGGCGTGTCAAGCGCTCTTTCCTCAGGCTTGTAAGCATGGCGGCTGGCGTAGAACATTACACTTTCATAATATCAATCTAATCAAACTGCATTGATACAGGCTAACTGGCGCGTTTGTTTTGGCTTTTTGATGGTTTCAGTACAGATTTATCAACACTTATGATTTATTGACATGTGTTTTGCCCCTCCTCCGCAAAACACAAACTTCTCCCACCTGAAGGCAGGCGGGGGGGGGTGACGGAAATCGTAAACATGTTAGTTTGTTCTTGTTCACCGAAAATGAAGCGTAATTAAACCGTTAAACAACTCATATTTTATTTGTCCGTGACAATTTCGATTCGTGTTCAATTTCATCTGCATTTACGTGTTTTGTTTATTGAACACCAGCAAAAGTGTGTAAACAAATCGTAAACCCGGCACAACAGAAAAAGCACAAATGCCAATCAAGCAAAAATGGTATCGAATTCGAAATACAAAAAAGAGCTAGTTCAATGGGCTTGCCCTGACTCAGCCACCGTAGGTCACAATGGTAGGCAGTCTCCACCGGACAAGCCCAGCCAAGGTGATTGCATGACTTCTCAGCCCCTCAGTCAAAATACCAAGTGTGAAGTCAGCCAAGGTTACCGAGGGGGGGTGCCGCAAGAATTTGCCGCGAGCACAATGTGAGGCGAGGACTTGCCAGATGGTCCCTTACACTCTCCCCAGCACTTCATGTATTGCCTGGCGGCCAATATTGGTCACCAGGTTGGCAAGCATGCTGATGATGTTCGGAAGCTTATTGGTGAAAACCCGCTGAATATTATCGGTCCGCGTCATCAGGGTCTTGTACAGCTCATCCGCACCTTTCTGTTGAATCCATTTCCTTTCTTGCCCAAAGGACCGTTCTTTCATGGCTTAAGCGTTTTGGGCTGTGGTCATGGCCAAAAGTTTAAACCAAAATCAAACAAAAAAAGGCAAAGCAAAGTAGACTGAAGGCCTCACTGAGTTTCACATCTTGCTGGATGAGGCAAGAAAACAGCTGCTTTCGGAGCCGGCACCCGATTTGCTTCCCGGCGCTGCGCATGATGTCATTGGAGAAATCACTCAGCTGCATGAAGCTGCCTGCGCTTGAAAGCTCCGCAAAAATAAGCGGTTGTTTTCTTAGCCGCCCATTTCAACTTGCTTGAAAGGAGCGACAAGTCCGAAGACGGGTTTTCACACACTCAACACAAAAGTCTAAAGCACAACAACTTGGAATGTGAGCTTCGCCGCCGAAAGGAGGGCAAAATCATCTGGACCCGTTTGGAGCTTCTGGTTCCCTGCATGGCATTGCGATGCAAAAGGCCAGCTAAGCTGCTTTGGGTTGGCTGGTTAATCTTAGGCTGGGTCAGGGCTTTGGGGTGGGCTCTGGTTGGTTTGGGGTTAGCTTACGCTGGGCTACGGGTTGACACAGCCTAGATTTGTTTGTTGGTTGAACTTGAATCGGCTTTGGGGTTGGCTGAGGAACGGTGTGGGTCAGACTTGGGGCTGGTTAAAGCGGGCAGGATGTCGCAGGATGGTTGTTACCTGGGTTTTCGCTGGTTTGAATCTGGTTTAGATCTGGTTGCCCCAAACCACAAACCTTCAAGACACCCAGGTGACAACAATCCTAACCCCAGCCCGGGAGGACAGGGATAAACTGCCGCAGGAAATTCAGGAGGAAACATGTTCGGCGGCTGGCGTCTTTGATTGAAGTTTCCGACAAAACTTTACAACGTAAAGCACCAAATGCATATTCAAATTCAAGCAGGCCGCCCCAAAGCAGCATACCTCGACCCAGGACACGAATGAGCTCCTCAGTGCTCTTGCCAATATACTTCCCAGTGTAAAGGTCCGAGTCGTGGCTACAGGCCAAATCGACCAAAAGGTTGGCCAGAACGCTGCCTCAGTGCCACAGCGGAACGGTTCAAGCAGGCGGTTCATTGATTAAACGGTCTTCACACATATCAAAAGATTCGCAGAATCAACGGGAGGCTCTCCTTGTTGGTGCTATATGGTGCCATATATATATATATATATGCTACCCCCCTAGGTACCCAGGTTTGGGCTTCAGATGTGCTTTGACCGCGGAAGCAGGCAGGGAGAACAGCTCAGATTTGCACACTGGGAGACTAGAGGAAGGAGGTTTGCCTCATTGAAGAAAGACGCTTTGGACGTGACCCATGCCCATTTTCAAAGGCTCTTCCACACAAAATTCAAATCACATATCTTCCCACACAAACCATGTCTTTTTCAATAACTCTTTTCTACAGAAAATTCACATATCCTCTCACCCAGAACATGTCTTCTTTCACAAAGGTTCACATATCCTCTCACCAAAACATGCCATTTTCAAAGGCTCTTCCACAGAAAATTCACATATCCTCTCACCCAGAACATGTCTTCTTTCACAAAGGTTCACATATCCTCTCACCAAAACATGCCATTTTCAAAGGCTCTTCCGCAGAAAAGTCACATATCTTCCCACACAACCCCTTTCTTTCAAAGACCCTTCCACAGAATATTCACATATCATCTCACACAAAGCATGTCTTTTCAATCACCCTTCTCTACAGACAATTCTTGCATCCTCTCATCCAAAACATGTCTTTTTGCATGCTTTCTTTCACAAGGAATCACACATCCTCTCACCAAACCCATGCCCTTTTTCAATGGCTCTTCCACACAAAATTCAATTCACATATCTTCCCACACAAACCATGCCTTCTTTCAAAGGCTCTTCCACAAATCCGCCGACAACAGGCGGCGTGTTGGACATAAAAAAGGCTCCTTGCCTCTTTACCTGTTACCCCTCCCCAGGGGCACCATTTCAGACTATTGCGGGGGGGGGTCCACGTACCACGCGGTGATTTGAAGACGCTTCACTAAATCTGTTCATTGTGCGGGCTTGCGCAACTCAGTTTGTCAAAAACATTGGGGTGTTCGATGTGGGCAGCGCATCCTTAGCAGCTCCAGCGGCACATCGCCAGCATCACCTGCATCATCCGCATCAGCGCCTGCCAAGGATGCGGATGATGCAAGTGATGCTGGGGATGTTGCCCATGCTGGTGGAAATGAAGGGGGGAAATGGGGGGAAAGGATCTCAACAGGGAAAGGGGGGGAAAGATCTCAGGGAGGAAAGGGAGAAGATCTGGGGAAAAAAAGATCTTAGGGAGGAAAGGGAGAAGATCTGAGGAAAAAAAGCCAACAATAACAGGGGGGAAAAGATAAGGAAAAGGGAGAAGCTCTCAGGGGGGAAAAGGCCTTAGGAGGGAAAGGGGGGAAAGGATCTCAATAGGGAAAGGGAAAGAAAGATCTTAGGGAGGAAAGGGGGGGGGGAAGATCTTAGGGAGGAAAGGGGAGAAAAGGACTTAGGGGGGAAAGGGGGGAAAGAATCTCAACCGGAAAAGAGGGGAAGGATCTTAGGCAGGAAAAGGGAGAAAGATCTCAGGGGGGGAAAGGCCTTAGGGAGGAAAGGGTCTCAGCAGGGAAAGGGTGGAAAGATCTTAGGGAGGAAAGGGAGAAGATCTGGGGGGAAAAGGCCTTAGAGGGAAAGGACCTCAACCGGAAAAGAGGGGAAGGATCTTAGGGAGGTCAAGGGAGAAGATCTCAAGGGGGGAAAGGGGATCTCAATAGGGAAAGGTGGGAGAAGATCTTAGGGAGGAAAAGCGAGAAGATCTCAGTGGGGGGAAAAGGCCTTAAGATCTCAGGGGGGGAAAGGCCTTAGGGGGGAAAGGGGGGAAAGGATCTCAACAGGGAAAGGGGGGAAAACATCTTAGAGAGGAAAAGGGAGAAGATCTGGGGGGGAAAAGGCCTTAGGGGGGAAAGGAGGGGAAAGGATCTCAACAAGGAAAGGGGGGAAAAGATCTTAGGAAGGAAAAGGGGGAAGATCGCCGGGGAAAAAAAGGCCTTAGGGGGCAAAGGGGGGGGGGAAGGATCTCAACAGGGAAAGGTGGCAAAAGATCTTCGGGAGGAAAAGGGAGAAGATCTCGGGGGGGAAACTCAACAAGAAAAGGGGGGAAAAGATCTTAGGGAGGAAAAGGGAGAAGAACTCAGGGTGGGAAAAAGGCCTTAGGGGGGAAAGGGGGAATGGATCTCAACAGGGAAAGGTGGCAAAAGATCTTAGGGAGGAAAAGGGAGAAGATCTCAGGGGGGAAAAGGCCTTAATAAGGGAAGGGGGGAAGGGATCTCAACAGGGAAAGGGTGGAAAACATCTTAGGGAGGAAAAGGGAGATGATCTCAGGGGGGGAAAAGGCCTTAGGGGGGAAATGGGGAAAGGATCGAAACGCGAGAAGATCTCAGGGGGGGAAACGGCCTTAAGATCTCAGGGGGGGAAAGGCCTTAGTAGGGAAAGGGGGAAAGGATCTCAACAGGGAAAGGGGGCAAAGGATCTTAGGGAGGAAAATGGAGAAGATCTGAAAAGGATCTCAACAGGGACAGGGAGAAAAGATCCTAGGGAGGAAAAGGGAGAAGATCTCGGGGGGAAAGGGGGAGAGGATCTCAACCGAGGGAAAAGATCTTCGGGAGGAAAAGGGAGAAGATCTGGGGGGAAAGGGGAGAAATGATTTCAGCAGGGAAGGGGGGAAAAGATCTTAGGGAGGAAAGGGAGAAGATCTGGGGGCAAAGGCCTCAGGGGGGAAAGGGGAGAAATGATCTCTACAGGGAAAGGGGTGGAAGAGATCTTAGGGAGGAAAAGGAGAAGGTCTGGGGGAAAAAAGGCCAACAGGAAAGGGGGGTGGAAAAATCTTAAGAAGCAAAAGGGAGAAGCTCTCAGGGGGGGAAAGGCCTTAGGGGGGAAAGGTCTCAACAGGGAAAGGGGGGAAACAATCTTAGGAAGGAAAAGGGAGAAGATCTGCCTTCGGGGTAGGGGGGGAGAAGGATCTCAACAGGGAAAGGGGGCAAAGGATCTCAGGGAGGAATAGGAAGAAGATCGAAAGGGAAAAGATCTCGGGGGGGGGGGGGGACCAAGGGTGCGCTGTGATCAAGTTGTGGAACAGGTGCAATTCTTGCACGACACTCCAAAACACCAATACTGCCAAACGCTCAGCTCCTTCATCTGCAATCAAATCCGCCGACAACAGACGGCGTGTCCTGTTACCCCTCCCCTTACATTTCAGACTATTGAAAAGGCGGGAAAAGATAAGGAAACGGGAGAAGCTCTCAGGGGGGAAAAGGCCTTAGAAGAGAAAGGGGGGAAAGGATCTCAACAGGGAAAGGGTGGGAAAGATCTTAGGGAGGAAAGGGGGGGGGA